GTGCATTCACAGCACATGGGCAGGACGCCCCCTTGTGGACACCACGTGGACAACCATGTCTAATCCCCATTTTAAAGCCAAAGCAACTGAGGTCTGGAGGGCTTTAGAAACTGGTTCAAAGGCATACACAGCCAGTGGAGAGCAGCCTGGTAGCTAAGACCCAGGCCTCTTAAGTCCCAGTCTGCAGCCGGGCCCACAGCCTCATGCGCAGACGTGAGAGGACCCGAGACAGACCTCGAGCTAAGTTCCCTTCTGTCCCCTGGGGCTTTCCTGTGGAGGGCCAGGCCACTTTCCCCACAGCATGTTCTGTGTTCATTTGTACCAAGAGATAAAAGCTTTCCGAAACTTCCCCGTGGCCTCCTGGAATGAGGCAGATTAAAGCCAAACCTATCACCACACTAACCCTGTCCTTCTCTCTTCCCGGCGCCGCCCCACACCCTGGAGCTGACCGGCGGCCCGGCCAGTATCTCTGTCGGGCACACCCCGGTTGGCAGGAGCCGTATTTACCGTCGGAGGGCTGAGGGAAGTGAGATTGGGCCATCACAAGGCACAGTGGGGCCGGACCCCAGAGGAAGTGACAGCCGTCCGGATTGGCAGTTCATTCTCGGGGTGGGGGGGGGAGTTTGGGGTTTCTGGGAACCCAGAAGGTCCTGGGCTTGGAGCATCCAGAGGCAGAAGGAAGAAGAGTCTTTTTTCATTTTACAAAAAGTTGTGCTGCATGAGTGTTTCTGAGTCTGACCTGTGAAAAATACTAAGACCCTGTGTTTTTCAATTGTGGTGGCACCAGAGAAAGAAATATATTGCGTGACAGGGAGATTGCAGAAAAGGTATCTATCTTGATTCCCATTTTTAATTTAAACTTAATGGAAAACACATTTTGCATTCTGTGGCATTCCCCCCGGCAGCCTCAGAGGGCCGGGCAAAGGTGATGGGTCCTGGCAATTAAGCTGGTGAGGTATTATCCCTTCCAGGCCAGGGTCTGACCAGTAAAAGAGCACAGGATCTGGGCACAACAAAAGACCAGATTTCCCCTGGACTCTGTAGTCAGCCGGGTCTATGGTTGGAACATAGAGCCTTATTTCCCTGCTCCCTCCTCCCGCCCCCCCCACTACTAACTCCCCCCCCACCCCGGCCGCTGTTCACTGCAGCCCAGAGAAAGGGAGACCCACAGTCAGTAGGCTGCGGGGCAGGAGACAAAGGCTTTGGCACGGGCCAGACCCTTGTCTCCCCTGCTCCAGGTGTCCCAGATGAAGAGCAGGTTAGGCTGGGGGACTGGAGAGCTGAAGAAAGCCCCATTGTTGGGGCTCTGCTTCACACCTGCAGAGCTTCACTCTGTTCATTTCCATCTTCTTTCAGATCCCTAATACAATATCCAGTGACGGATGGACTCCAAAATGGAAAATTATTTTTTCCTTATGCTTTCAACTTGTTGGGGGGGCACTCCATTCTCAGCAGCAGCCACTTCGTGCTTTTCGGGGCCCCAAATTAGCAGATAAATACATATACAGACACACATATATGTATGTGTATATGTACATACCTGTATCTGTATGTATATGTGTACTATATATATACACATATGTATATATACACCACTGTGTGTGTGTGTATATATATATATATATCCCTGCATGCATACATTAATAACAGTAAATAAGCAAATAAATACACATTTTAATGGAAGTATACAGAGTCAAGCAAGAATCATAAATGCACAACCCAAGAAACTATCACAAAGGGAATCCATTCACTTGTATGAGCACCCCCAGGTCAAGGAAGAGATCAGAAGCCCCCTTGTACCCTTTCTCCGTCACCTCCCCTTCTTCCTCCCCAAAGGTAACCACTGTCTTGATTCCCAACACCATACGTGAGTTTTGTCTGTTTCTTAGATTTAGCCTGAGGACCGCGGGGTCTGCTGGACCGAGAACAGGTTTTGCAGATAGACAAGAATGGGAATCTTGCTTCCTGGGCTTTCTGGCTGTGTGACCCTGAGCAGATTACTTGACTTCTCTGAATGCTGATGTTCTCATGTGTAAAAGGAGAAGCACATGATACTGGTTTCACAGGGCTCGGGTAAGGATTAAGTGAGAGACTAGATATAAAGTGGTGCTTCCTGCATTCAGGAGTGTTGGCTTCCCTCTGCCCATCACAGCCTGTTCGCTCGGACAGGATGGTGTCAGGGAAGATTAGGATTCACATTAGCCCCGCACAGAAGGAGCCTGAAAGCGGGAGAAAAAAATCCAGAGCCACCGAGTGGGAGGCCAGACTCCAGGAAGGACCTTCTTGTATCAGAACAAATTCCCGTAAGAAAAGCGTGTGCTATGCCATCCTCTGTAGCCTGAAGAACTTGTCAAATAAAAATCGGAGAAGAGAAGGGGATGTTGGTCCCTTGGGAAGGAGGCCAGATGCTCCTAACCAGCCCCTCCTTCCAGGAGTGAAACTTGAACCAAAAACGGTCTTCAGGGCGAAATCCTTTTCCTAGGTTACCATGAAATATGTATTTCATGCAAGCTTTGCAGGGGTCAAACGACCCTTTCTCTTGGCTTTCTGGGAGTTTCCTGTGGAATTCATATGTGCCCAAAGAAGAACTTTCAGCAAGGGGAAAATTTAATAAATGTGGTTTATCTAAGCTTCGTGCTCTCAGCTAAATCTACACTAATGACTCAGGCAGTTTGCTCCTCTGAGACCATCATTTTTCTTTATTTGCTCCAGCCGTGAGGTTTCAGCCTGAGGGAGAGAATGTCAGGGACAGAGAGGCAGACATTCTTGGTCTTACTGCTGAGACTTTTACTTTTCTATTCCCTTGGAACGTTTGGTTCTATTTCTTAACCTCCTTCCAGTCATGGAGGATTATTTCTTATTGCAGCAGAACCCATTCATAACTCCAGGTCCAGAGGACACGACGAACGCTCAGCAAGCTCTTTTATAAAGGGTTTATTGTATGTCATTGTGGTGTCTGTGGGAGATAGGATGTAAAAATAGTAATGATAACAGCTAGCATTTACTGCATACTCACTAGCAACCAAGATCTTTTTTGAGCACTTGACACGTATTATTTTATTCAATCCTCGCAACAACCGTGTTAAGTGGATCTTATTATTAGCCCATTTTATATATAAGGAACCTGGGGCTTAGCGAGATTAGGTAAATTGATGGAGGTCACAAAGCTAGTCAGTGGTAAGAGGCAGGTCTAACTTTCAACTCTCATTTGCATAATAACTATAATGAAATGAGGTTGTCCCGGCTTCACTTGGTCCTTGGTATTTTTGAGACTGGACTAACCAAATGCATCTGGTTTTCGGGATATTACATGCATGTGACTGTCTCGTGTCTATTTTTTTTAAGATTTTATTTGAGAGAGAGCAGAGCAGGGGAGAGGGGTGGAGGGAGACAGAGAAGCCGGCTCCCAACTGAGTAGAGAGCCCGATGCGATGCGGGGCTCGATCCCAAGACCCTGGGATCATGACCTGAGCCGAAGGCAGATGCTTAACCCATCTGAGCCACCCAGGCACCCAAGACTGGCTCATTTCTAAAACGGTCTGCATGTCCACGCTTTGGCGTATTGTGGTCTCAATACCACCTCCACTCCTCCTCTTTTTTATTTGGAGCCCTTCTCGGGGCTAGCAGTGACAGTCACCCAAGCCAGAAGTCATCGGTGCCGGGCAGTTGGGGCATTCTTATACAATTCCCTTCCTCGTCACCTGGCCTGGAAGGGACACATTTTCTCTGAGGCACACAACCAAACGCCCACAGCTGGGTGAGGCAGCAAGCAGCTCCGCTCCGGCGTCCCTGCCATGACTGGAGACTAAAAATAGGAGCGTCTGACAGCCCATCCCCTGTCCTCAGCCCTGGCACCCAAATCAGCCACCCGTCTGCAGAGAGAAGGGAAAATTTTCAAAGACTTCCCCAGCCTCAAGCACCTCTGGCAGGCTTATCACGTGTGCTGTAAAAGTATATTCCAGCCCTGGTCTTTGAAAGCCCTTCAGAGGTCCTCCCCGCCCCCCTTCCGGAGAACCTCAAGGAGAACTGCAAAAATGCCTACGTTTTATAAAACAAAATTCCTGAATTCTTTTGAAACTAAGGAACGAGCTTAGTTTTAGGGGCAAGGGGGAATTTTTACATGCAGCAGAAAAAAAACTATCATCCCTGAAAATGCCTAGACTAGGGCGTGGAATGAGTAGTTACGCCTTCAAGTTTAATTTTTAGAGACTGCATAGCAGCCCTCTGGGATGACAGAAAAGTCAATGTAGCATGCCTCGCATTCAGTTGTATTCTCTTAGACGTTTGCAGAGGAAGGCCAAGAGTTGCTACTGGAACTCCGGCCACCCCCTGCCCCTTCCCAACACTCCCCTCCACTGACAACGAATAATATCTAAGCACCTCACCCACCAGTAAAAGGACCTGCCTGTGAACCCACAGGGTATCCTAGCAGGCCGGAATTGTGTAGCTTCTCCTCCAGGGTGTGGTAGAACTACAAACTGCAGGCCAAACCTGCCCGAATCTGGCCAACTCTGGCCCACGGACAAAACAAAACAAAAACAAAGAAGAATGTGCAACAGAAACTGTATTTAACCCACAAAGCCTAAAATATTTACTATCTGGTCTTTATAAGAAAAGCTCACCAACTCGGGCTGTAGTTTAACTCCTTCATTTTTCGACTGAAGAAATCAAAATCTAGACTCACCCATGGTCACACAGCGAGACTCCCCGTCCTTGCTCCTGCATGACATGGCTTGGATGTCCAAGAACTTCGGAATCGTAAACGTGGCTGCTGGGGGAGGGCTGTGTGTGTCCCACCCGCAAGTATTCTGCCCTAACTTACTCTGACGGGAACTCCAGGAATTCAGTACATTCCCCCCAAGATGGATTCCAGTAACTCTTTCTTTCTCTCAAGGAGCCATCTGTCCCTCTTCCCTACCCCCATCCTTTCTCATCCCATCTTCTACCTTTGATCTCAGAAGAACATCTTGTTATAACTGGCTTCTGCTTTGCCTTGCAGGTTCACTGCTGGCCTATAACACAACCTCCCACACAGACCAATCCTCACGACTGAGTGTCAAAGAAGGTGAGTCTGTTCTCTCATGCATTTTCTTCAGTCCCAGGCTTGGCACCGTTCCGTGCTGTTACGACTGGTTCGGGCAACCCCAACTCTGTGCACCATTAACCGTAAAAATAGAACAGGTGGTTATTTTACGAGGAAAAAAAATGGGTTTATTTGGAAATAACAAAGAATAGGAATTCTGGATAAACAAGCTATGGCAAAACCATAGGTAAGCCCAGCAAACAAAGGAGAGGAACATCATTTTATGGAGGAGATGGAGGAAGTTGGGAGGAGCTGTTTGAATGGAAGTCCACTGGAGAAAAGTCAAGAGCTCAGGGTGCTGGCTTGTCTCATTGGCTGAGATGCAGGGGTAGTGGATTTCTTATAGGACAGATGCAAGGTACATCTTTCCCTGTTGGGGGCCTGTAATTCATGATTCTTTCCTGCTGGAGAGTCCTCTGTTGTGGTAGGTAATTGACACATCTGTTGAAGTCTGTAATTGACAGTTCTTCCTGCAGCTGGCATTTGAGTGGTAGTGACCCTCCTCTGGGTTCCCCTTTCTAGCCTCCCAACTCAATTTATTGAGGTTTCCCTCTGTGAATTTTCAAGCACCAAATCTCTTGTTTTTTCTAGCATACAAGGCAAGAAACCAAAGCTTATCCCACTTGCACTAGCTGCAAAAACAGAGCAAGGTTTTTAAATATCTTGTAATCATATAAAAGATAGGACTTGAAGTTGTTACACCATGGAATAAAAGGGGTTGCTCTCAGCTCACTGCTCCCTTTCAGAGCTGTAAATCAGGATTTTCCTCCACTGAAGATAATGAAATGAAGATTTTTAAAGGATTCTTGCAATGCCACATTTTAAGTGTTTTTTTCTCCCCCCTCACAAATTTTAGCAATGCCAAGTCATTTCTAAAGTGGTGATTTGGGGATTTGGTCTAGTTGGTTTGGTTTGGTTTGGTTGAGAGAGACAGAAAACAACCTCAACAAATGATTTTTTGCTAGTGAGGATTTTACTATAATAGCATTTCTCAGCATCTTATTTATGGAACATTGTGAGGATTTATTGCCCCAGATACTGTGTTAGATCCCAGGCATTTAAACAAGTGAATAATTCTTGGTACCTGGTTTAAGGGAGAAAAAATGTTAAGTGAAAAAAATCTGCCCAAGGCAAAAAAAAAATCCATGGAGGAGGGGAATTTTGAGGGGAGGCTTGAAGAACGAATAGGAGTATGGCAGGCATGCTCTCTTCCTTGGCTCCCTACTTTACTACTTTTTCTTTAATGTCCATCTGCTCTAATAGAGAATGAATGAGGGCAGAAGTTCTCCATATGGGTACCATGTGGTAGAGCACAGCATAATCTTTCAGAGAAACTTCAAGCTCTTCTAAGGGAAGAGCCTTAGAGACCATTTGATTAAGAATCCTCACGGGTTATGGAGGAAGCAGACCCAAAACGCCCGGGTGTCTTGGCCGTGGCCACACCATTGATTACACAGGACTTTGTGTTCACTGTTAGCAATTTCTAATCAGACGATGACCAGAAAATGTGGGGGAAGGAATATACGACATGGTGAATCTGCTTTTAAACTTTTGTGGTTTCGTTTGCTTCCTCTCCCCCGCCCCCCGCCCCACCCAGGGTCAGTCCTATTTATGCTACCGTTTTTCCTTTCCAAATCAGATTTTTTGGATTTTGCCATGAAAACTAAAGTTATATTGACCATTCTACGGTCCAAGCCACATTTTACTTGCTGACCTGTTTAATGTCATGTTGCAGACGTCTATCATGAAAGAAATATGTTATAGTGACAGACGTTAGACTGGAGGTCAGGGCACCTTTGGTTTCATTTGGGGAAATCACTTCATGCCCTGAATCTCTGTTTCCTGTCAAACAAAAGGACTAAATCAGGAGGAGTCAAGCCCTGGCTCTTGAGCTCTTGGCTTCTAAAGAGAGGTCCTAGGGCCACAGGTGAGGGCTCTGCCTTCATTCAGGTCCCTCTGTTTGGATCTGGTGTACCTACGAGTTAATTTCATTTGCAGATAGGGATCTGGTTCTTGGAAGGAAGCGGGCAAGAGGAAAGGAAGGATGGAGGAAGGGAAGGGGAGGAAAGGAGAAGGAAGGGGGATCCTTCAAAGTTTCTTTAGTTCTACAGGCTAAAGCTGGCTGGTGACCAGTGAGGCTCTGGGACAGAGCCAAGGAGAGAATATCTGATATTGGGCTTAAAATACAGATTTTCATTTAGAAGCAAGTCTGAATTGAACTGCGTTGATAAGCAACTCATTACTCCTCCAGGGGTCTTAGCTTTCAGCCTCTTGCCTCTACCTACCACACTGCATTTCCTTCCCTTGGCCCTTTTGATTACAGGTGGCCGTGCATTTGTAATGCCACTGGGCTTATTCAGGCTTATTGCAGGAAGAGCTCGCTCTTGCTGGGCAACCACCGTCTTTGGAAATAAATTAACTGTAGTATCCAGGCAAACACACGCTGCCAGGACCTCATTCAGGTGGTGCCGGGGCATTTATCTCCCAACATCGGCCCTGGCCTCTAGAGACCATTAAGTCTGTGCTTGCAGGTGCATCTTTTGTCCCCAGTAAAGCTTTCCACTTGAGCTGTCTTGCTTCTCTGTTGCCTCCCCACTTGTGAGGTGGTCTGAATCTGTCTGAAAGGCCCATCATCCACAAAACAAAGTGCATTAGCAAGACAAAGCTAATCAGGCTTCTCTCTCCTTCCCTTTCACCCTCCTCCCCATATCCCTCTCTCTCTGCCTCTCTCTCTCTCTCTCTTTCTCTCTCCCGCGTGCATGCTTTTTCTCTAATGGCTATCTTTATTACTTAAAATATTAAATGGAAAAATAAAGAGAAGACACAGTTTAACCCTGGCTCCATCTTGTTTGAATAAGACACACGCATAGCCCCAAACAAATCCAGAGCACATCAAGAGCACCAGAGCTGTGTGTGTGTGTGTGTGTGTGTGTTGTGCTTCACAAAGGGCAGGTGCTAGAATCAAGCAGAAAGGAAAGAAGTTGAGGAGATGATGTCTATTAGTGCTTCTTCAATTCACTTATCAAATTAGAATGCCTTTTTGCTTTAAAATGACATAATCACCCTTCCAGCTTGTCTCTTGAAAATGATTGCACTCTCAAAGGGTTATTTGTGCCCAGGAAGTAAGACTTGATTTCAGAAATTAATTTATAACAGTCTTTAAGCCCCTTTAAATTAAGTATTCTATGGTCACAGATTGGCCCCAGTTAAAATAGTGGTGCTCTCTTGACCTTTACTTATCAAAGGCTAGCGCACTTTAAAAAATAAAGTAGGATGGAAGCAATTGTGACCCATTTACAATAGCAGCTACAACTCTCGTCTAGATAGGATTTTGTAATACCGTAGACACTTTTACATGCTTTGCCTCTGCTTTTGGCCTGGCGGCATCCCTGAGAGGTAGCTAAGATCCTCTCCAGTTTGCAGATAGAGTGAGATTCAGCAACATTAAGCAGTTCACTGAAGAGCACCCCCAGCTAGTCAACAGCACAGCAAAGACTCAAACCCAGGATGTAGGGTTCAAAATTTCCTGCTCCAGATGGTCTCCCTGACACGTCCAGCTCGTCCCTTCTCACTGGACGTCCATGCAGACAATATCTGGCCTAGGTGTTGTTTCAGCAGAGCCTTGAAATGTCTCCCATTATTTTGCCCTGCTCCCCGCAATTTTCCCCCTACCGTCTCCATCCATGCCCTGTGCTGTTCTCTGTTCCCAAAGATGAATTCATACACAGCTCTTGCTTGGCACTACCTTCTGGTCTGCACTGCACAGAGAATCACTTGGAGAGCTTTTTAAAAATGCTGGTGTCCTAGAACAAATGTATGGCTCCACTCCCATGAGGCATCTCGATTAGGCAGATCCATAGAGATCTTAGGTCATAGGATGGTGGTTACTCGGGCTGGGAGGAGGGGAATGGGCAGTTGCCGTTGAATGGGTGCAGAGCTTCACTTTGGAGAAAGATGAAAAAGTTCCGATGGTGGGGGTTAGTTACATAATGAAGGTACTTAATGCCACTGAAATGCTCACCAAGAAATAGTCAAAATGGTCGATTCTGTTAGGGATGTTTTATCATAATAAAAAAATGAAACATTTCCATTTGAAAAAATTTTAAGGGGAGCCTGAGTGGCTGAGTCGGTTAAGCATCCGCCTTTGGCTCAGGTCATGATCTCAGGGTCCTGGGATCGAGCCCCGCATTGGGCTCTCTGCTCAGCGGGGAGTCTGTTTCTCCCTCTCCCCCTGCTTGTGCTCTCTCTCTCTCTCTCTCTCACTCTCTCTGTCAAATAAATAAAATCTTTAAAAGAATTTATTTAAATACTGATGCCCAGGCCCCACACAGGACCAATTGTTTCGGAATAGCTAGGAGTGACACGTGGACATTGGGAATTTTTTTTGAAGCTCTCCAGGTTACTCTCATAACTTGCAGCCAAAATCAAGAAGCCCTGTGCTATAGTGCAATCACAAACTGGAGGGAGGAGACCCAGCTCAGAGCGCCCCCAGGTTTTCTTAGCGATACACTGGGCCGTGATCTTGACCTTTCCTGACCCCTAGTGGAGGAAGAGCAGAACCTGTTGGTTCACCAATGAAGGTGCGGGTTGAGTGGAGGGACCATGTGATCATGACTTGTTCTTTTCATCACTGTCATTGATGATGTTATAATTTTCGCAGACTTTGACAGGTTTACGTTAGCACCTCTCTCCACATCTCAGAAATTCCTCTCGTATACGCCCTCATTATACGTACCTAAATAATAGACATGGTGTGGGTACCTTGATTTTATTTAGGGAGGGGAAGAGGGAGAAGGAGAGAGAGAATCCCAAGCGGACTCCAAGCCCAGCCCTGAGCCCAACACAGGGCTCGATCCCCCAACCCTGAGATCATGACCTGAGCCAAAATCAAGAGTCGGATGCCCAACATACTGCACCACCCAGGTGCCCTGGTACCTCAATTTTATAGGACACTGGAGGTCTGGAAGTTAAGTGGCCTTTCC